CTCGGGCGGGACGGCCCGCGCCCAATCGGCGGCGGGCCTCGGGCCACGTGGACCTGAAGGCAGTGCACGGACCGGCGCCGGGAGACTCGGCTTCCGGGTGCACTGTGGAACGCGGGCGTCTCCTGACTGCACGCGGTCGGCGAGCGCGTGACCCCCGCCACATCGAACGTCCTGGGCCGGATGGGACCCGCTGCCCTTCGCAAAGCGCCTTCACGTGCAACGCGCTGTCACATGCAAATCACTTCCCTTCCACCCATCCAACCACCCAATAAATATTTACTTGGAGTTTGTTTTGTACCAGGTACCGCCATGGCCGCTGGGCTACTGGGGGAGACTTACAAACCAGACACTCATAAAAAGATGGACATAGTGGTTGTGATGCTGCCAAGTGCAAAGGCTTCCAAAAGGAAGTGACATTTAATCTGAAACTCCAGGATCAACAACAGCAGTTGGCTAGGAGAAGAGAAGGGATGAGCCTTCCAGGCAGAGGAGATGCGTAGATGAAGTCTTGCCTCCCTCCTCCTCCGTCCCCACCCCCACCCCCAAGGTACAAAGTTTGGCAGATTTGAGGAACTGAAAGGTCAGGAGGTTGGACGGATGGGAGCGTGAGCGGAGGCTGACTGGAGCAGGGCCTGGTGGGCATGTTAAGGTTTCTCCATGGGACCCTCAGAGGGCAGCAGCCGCAGAACAGCAGTTTTCATTTTTCAGATTGGACAATCGAGGGCCAGAGAGAGGTGACTTGAGCCACATCAATAACCGGTAGGAAGGCAGCTCTGGGACTAGAACCCTGAACGCCCAACTCCCAGAGCAGGGTTCTGGCCACTATTGCCCAAGTAATGCAATTTCTCAGGCTGCCTCTCTGGGCAGGGAGGGGCTGAGTGGGGCTGTGTGGGGGCAGGGAGTGGTGGGCTCTTTAAAAAGACTGGTCTTTCTAAAAGGATCTTGAGTCCTTTTGGAGGCAGGTGTGCATTTTTCCAGATTGCCAGGTCTGAGCGAAGGAGTTTAGGGACAGGGAAGGGGTTGGAAGGGGGTTGCCTAGTCTGAATAATCCAGGCCTTGGACTTAAAGAGAATGTGGGAGGTTGCTGAGCTTGCCCACTCCTCTGCCCCCTGCCCCAGCTGCAGACATGAGCTGCAATGTCCTCACCCTTGTTTCCTGCTCAGCAAGCAGCCTGTGCAGGAGGTGTGGCCCTTGCTTCCACCTTCTTTCCAGTGTCAGAAGGTTCTCAGCCTTTCCCAGGGAACAGCTCCAAGCCTGGCCCAGAGGGATGTGCCCCACCCCTCTCCACCCCCTGGAGTACCCCAAGTACCCTTTCCCCTGTTCCCCATCCGGACACCCGTTGACTCCAGGTGAGATTTGTTAGGCTCTCCCCCTCCAGGACTTGTCTATTTTTACCAGTATTTCTGGGTCTTAGGGAACACATGGGTCAGAGGATTGGGCTGCAGGTCCACCATCAGAGTCAGGGTGCCTCTTTGTGGGGTCTGGATTCATCCAGAGTGGTAAGGGGTTGCTGGCAGGGGCAGCAGATCAGAGACACCACCTAGGGGAGTTGGTAACATTTCCAAAGCATGGGCCCATGGATGCCAGGGCAGGAGCTTCACCAGTTAACTTCCTGCACATCACAATGTCTCTTTTCTCATCTTCCCCACCTGGCTGGGAATGCTTCAAGGTCAGTAGGGGGCTGGTTGAATAAATTAACATACACCTATAGGATGAAACATCAAGCATTTGACAAAAAAATAATAAGTAAGATGTATGTGTTGGTGCTGATTTGGAATGCTCTGCAAACTATTAAAAAAAAAAAAAGTCTGGGGCCAGCCCTGTGGCGCACTGGATAGTGCGCCGCTTGGGAGTGCGGCAGCGCTCCCGCCCGAGGGTTCGGATCCCACATACAGACCGGTTCCCGCTCACTGGCTGAGCGAGGCGCGGGAGCAACACCGAGGGTTGCAATCCCGTTGCCGGTCCCCGGTCCGGTACGGGGGCAACACTGAGGGTTGCGATCTGTTGCTGGACACGGAAAAAGACAAAAAAAAAAAAAAAGTCAAACCAGTGAGTATAGTCCACTATCATTTGTGTGATTTAAGAAAAAAAAGGCTCAGTAAACAGTGGTTGCCCAGGCGAGGTACTGGAACACTGGGAGTGGGAGGAAGACTTATAATAGAGCCTCGTACTGTTTGATCCTTTCACAATGGGACACTACTTTTCTTTCTTTTCTTTTTTAAAAAAAATGACCAGTAAAGGAATCTTAACCTGTGGCCTTGGTGTTGTCAGCACCACGCTCTCCCAAGTGAGCTGCGGGCTGGCCCCGACACATTACTTTTCAATTAATGTCTGTGAACCAAGTTGGCTGGGCTCTCTGCTTGTTCTCCACCTCATCTCGTCTTTTGCTCCTGGCCAGCCTACCCTCTGCCCATGCACCCCAGAATCCCCTGGGGATTGCTTTTCCCTCTCTGCCCTGCCAGTCCCATTGCCTATCACAAGCCCACCTCGGATCCTACCACACCTTGCCTGAGGAGGAACGAGTCCTGCCCTGTCTGGCCAGCAGGAAGCAGACCACACACACCTAGGACATGCCCTGGGTGGGCTGGGGAGCTGAGGAGGCAGGTGGGTCACTCCTTGATCTGAAGGGTCAAGGCTGCCAGCAGGCTTTGAGCTCCAAAGCCCCTTCTTCCAAGGGCTCCTTGGGCAGAAAGAAGTATAGTCCCACCCAATAAAGATGGTGACGGAATTGTTCCCTGTCATCCCCAAGCTGAGCAGGCCCAAGGTCACCCTCTCCTACACTGGTTCTAAGGACCTCAAGATGAAGGGCATTCCCTGGACAAGAGCACAGCTCACTGGGCAAATGTCTGGGGTCCAGGGATTCCACAAGGGGATCAGGGTAAAGGGCATGTCCCTTAAAAACAGAAGCAATGAGGGCTGGCCCATGGCTCACTCGGGAGAGTGTGGTGCTGCTAACACCAAGGCCATGGGTTCGGATCCTATATAGGGATGGCCGGTTCGCTCACTGGCTGAGCGTGGTGCTGACAACACCAAGCCAAGGGTTAAGATCCCCTTATCGGTCATCTTAAAAAAAAACAAAAACAAAAAAACCAGAAGCAATGGATCCATCCTGTTCCCCACCCCTACCCTAGGGCTCTGGGACTTCCCACACACTCCACTGCTCCGTTCCCGCTCAGCCCATCTTTGGCTGGCTGGACTAGAAGCAACCCAAGGCCACTAGATTCTGAGAACTCAGCTCAGCCACGGACCCACTCACTGGTCCTGCTTCCTCCCCAGCTCCTGTCAGTCAAAGGAGGAATTTCTTCCCAAGGAAGCCCTAGGCTTCTCCCCACTCCTTTTTTATTGAGATTATATACCGTAAAGTTTACCAATTTATTTATTTATTTATTTATTTATTTATTTATTTATTTAAAAGATGACCGGTAAGGGGAAACCCTTGGCCTGGTGTTGTCAGCACCACGCTCAGCCAGTGAGCAAACCGGCCATCCCTATATAGGATCCGAACCCGGGGCCTTGGTGTTATAAGCACCGCACTCTACCGAGTGAGCCACGGGCCGGCCCAAGTTTACCAATTTAAAGTGTACAATTCAATGGTTTTTAGTATATTCAAAGAATTATGCAACTACTACCATAGTCTAACTTTACGTTTTCATCATCCCAAAAAGAAACCCCATTCTTACCAGCAGTCTCTTCATTTTTACCTTCTTCCCCAGCCCCATCCAGAAGCCAGTCCTAGGCAACCTCCAATCTACCTTCTGCCTCGATAGATTTGCCTGTCTTGGACATTTCACATAAATGGGATCATATAATACGCAGACTTCTATGTTTGGCTTCTTTCACTTAGAAAAAGTTTTTGAGATCCATTCGTGTTGCAGCACCCATCAAGACTTCATTCCTGGGCCAGCCCGTGGCTCACTTGGGAGAGCGTGGTGCTGACAACACCAAGTCAGGGTTCGGATCCCCTTACCAAACAAACAACAAACCAAGGCTTCATTCCTTTTGGCTACAGAACATCGATTGTACGGACATACCACCTTCTTTTTATTCGTCCATTCATCAGCTGGTGGACATTTGGGCTGTTTATTTTGGGGCTATATAAATAACGCCGCTGTGAACATTTGCTGTGTGCACGGTTCTGTGTGCACGTTCTCATTTTTCTTGGGGAGATACCTAGATGTGGAGTTACTGGGTCTCCTGTTAATTTTATGTTTAACACTTTGAGGAACTGCCAGACTGCTTTCCAAAGAGCTGCACCGTTTTCTATTCCCAACAGCAGTGAATGGGGCTTCCAGTTTCTCCTCACCAACACTTGTAATTGCCTTTTTTATTTTTACTTATTTGTAATTTTTTTGGCAGCTGGCCAGTCCGGAGAATTGAACTCTTGACCTTGGTGTAGAACACAGTATTATAGGCCTTTTTAGAGGGTGTGATGTGGTACCTCGTTGTGGTTTTGACGTGCATTTCCATGACGAGTAATGATGTTGAGCATCTTTTCATGGGTTTATTGACCATTCATGTTGTTTATCTGGAGAAATGCCTATTCAAATCCTTTGCCCATTTTTAAAATTGAGTTTTCTTTTTTATTGAGTTGTAAGAGTTATTTATATATTCTAAATATAAGTCCCTTATCAGATATGTGATTTATAAATATTTTCTCCTAGGTGAGGGTTGTCTTTTCAGTTTCTTGATTGTGATGTTTGAAGCACAAAAGTTTTTAATTTTGCTGAAGTCCAACTTATCTATATATTTTTATCTTCTATCATTTATGCTTTGAGTGTCACACCTGAAAATCATTGCCTAACCCAAGGTCATGAAGATGTACTCCTGTGATTCCCCCTAAGTTTTACAGTTTTTGCTCTCACATTTAGGTCTATGATCCACTTTGAGTTAATTTTTGTACACGGTGTGGGGTGGCATTCATATTTGCAAAGGAGTATATGGACAGCCAGTTGTACCAGCACCATTTGTTGAAAAGATGGTTCTTTCCTCAATGAATTATCTTGACCCCTTTGTCAAAAATCAATTGGCCATAAATGTTAGGATTTATTCCTGGACTCTCAATTCTATTCCACTGATTCTAAATATCTATTCTTATTAGACCTCCCTTTCTGAGTCAATGACGGAGCAGAGGCTAAAAGAGCTCATTGAGCAGAACTTCCACTCAAGACCTCTTATCTGAGCAGCCAGGTGGGGTGGAGCATCTCAGGGCCTACTTCAGGGGCAGGTGCTGAGGAGAGAGGGTTTTAGGCTGGGGTGGAATAAGGATCATCAAAGGAACAGGGTGTTCCTGCCCCTCCTCACCTCTCCTGCAGCAGCAGTTGTCAGCCCCTGCCCTGGAGGCCCCTGCAGGGAGGGATGAGGGGGAAGGCACTGAGGAAGAATGTGTGCCTCACAGGGCAGTGAGGAGGGGAGAGGGCGCCCCCCACCCGCCAAGCCCGCCTCCCTGGATGCCCGCGGCCTGCTGACCTCAGCACCTCCCATTCTCCAGCTGCCCTGAAGAACTTACACCAAGGCCAAGGGCATCAGGGCTCAAATAGCCAGGCCCTGAGTCCTGGAGAGCACACTTGAAGAGGGAGGAGGGAGGGCCGATGCCCAGCCCCCTTCCCCAGGCTATCTGAATGTGCAGGGAGGGAGGGAGAGGTGAACACGGCCCCCAGTCCCCTCCCCACCATGGACAGCGTCTACAAAGCTGCCTCGGCTCATGGGAACGGGAAGGCGCCTGGGAGACTTGAGATAAGGTGAGAATTTCACAAACTAACTGCCTGGCCAAGGCCACTGCAGCTACGGCCTTTGATCAGAAAGAAAAGCAGAAATGCTGAAGGAGAGAGGTGGAGGGTGTGGGGTACCAGATGGGGTCCAGAGGACCAAGCCCAGGGCGACACAGGGCTGTGGGCAGAGACAGGCAGCCTCCCTGGTAGAGTCAAACACACTTTATTCAGTACAGGAATGTCTGAACAGAAGGGCCTTGGGCAGGGTTCCCTGACAGAGAACTCTGCATCTAACCCCACTGTAAACAGAGCAAAGATCATCACATAAACCAGGGGACGAGAGAGGAGGGGTCTACACAAGGTCTGGGTCAGGTCGCAGAGGGCCAGCACACAGTGAAGCTGGGGCAGGGCGGCCCACGCCCAAGGCTGGCCCAGCTGCTCACTCCCCCCAGCTCGGGGGAGGGCATGGGCCCAGGCAATTCAGGAGCTTATCTCTACCACTGAAGGTGGCGGGGAAGAATTTAGCTACAGCATCCAGGGCTGCTGCGCCAACACATGATTAGAAAGAAGGCCCTAAGATCCACAACCCAGTCCAGGGTGACAGGGAGGGGTCTCTGGGCAGGGCTGCGTGGCTCTCATACCCACATGCATCCGCAGCCCTGCCGGTCGCCTCCAGCAAACCCTACATGACGCTGACCCTCCATGCCCAGGATACCGCTCCCGAGACTTGGGGTCAGTGTGGAAGTGGGGAGAGGGTACTGGTGGGTAGAGTGAGGCAGGTCTGCAGGCAGAACCAGCCTTGACAACGACAGCCTGCACTCAAGACATGATTGCGGTGGGGAAGGGCTCAAGGTCTCCACCAGGAACGAGCATCAGTCTGAAGCCTCCACTGGACAGCATGTTTGTGGAAGGGGCCCTGCAGCCTGGGAAGTAGCCAACCAAGGGAGGGAAGCCCAGCGTGCTGCCAGCCAGCCAAGACCTCTGTCCCAGGGCATGCACCATGTTGTGCTGGTGCAGACAGGGAGGGAGGAAGAGAGGGTGGGAGTGTAGGGTGGGGGTTAGGAAGGTGGTGTTTGGTATTCTGGGACCCTTGGGGGCAACAGGGAGAAGCCAGTTATGATGGCCCAGATGAGTCCAGCTGAATTCCTGATTCACAAACAATGGAGGGGGGTGAGCAAACGACAAAAGTACCATCTTCCTGCGCCCGCCCCTCCTAGCCCAAGAGTGGGCATGTTGAAGAGCATCCCTTTCTGGGACAGAACCTGTAGGCTCCTCTCCAGCCTTCCCCCCAGCCAGCAACTCCAGTGGCAGGGGTGCGGGCTCAAAGGCTAGGTGTGGATAGCACAGGTGCCACTCCCACCCACCCTGAGCTTGGAAGCCCAAAGGCCCCCCGGCTCCCTGTGGATGCACAGACTGCTTCACCACCAGGGGACAGAGAAGGGCTATGTGGCTGGATGGAGGTCAGGAGGGAAGGCTGGTGCCCAGAGGTGTGAGTGACAGCCAGAGCCCAGCTTCTGTCTAGAAAATCACCACACTACACACAAAGCTGGGGGTGCCGGGAGACCCACAGAGGCTGGTTCTATCTAAGTACTCACAGACAGCTAGGGGAGGGTGGCACGGTGACACAAATGCCCTGGTGCCCGGGGAGCACAACCAACAGGCAAAAGGAGCACAGCCGATCCCTGTGGAGAGCAGCAGGGAGGGTGGCCTGGGGCACGCAGCCCAGCAGGGCTCACTCCTCGAACTTCCCTTCTCGAATGTGCTCGAAGGAGAAGGGTAGGAACTTGAAACCCGTCCCGCTGTAGAATTTATTCTGGAACTCGACCCTGGAGAAAGAGAAGAGGGTCATCATTCCATTGAATCCTTTGGAAGCTTTTTGAGACTTCACAGTTGGGCCAGAAAGATGCCCCGTGCCCACCTTCCCTGAGAAAGCCGGTTCTCGGCCTGCTCCCCACAGCATGCAAGCTCCCGCTTCTGCAGCCCGGGACTGCCCTCCGCAAGAGCTCTGCATACGGATGACCGGTTTGCCCTCAGTCCCTGCTCTTGCTTTGCCCTGCTGGGCAGAGTGTGTTCCCACAAAAGTCTTTGTAGAAAGCCATGTACATAAAAGTTAAGTTAGCGCGAGTCTCTAATGACAACGAAGGTAGGAAGAACAGTCCCTCAGTCGCCACCTCCTGACGGGCTCACACAGCCCAGCTCTAGAGGAAGCCTCCTTGAGGGACCCTGGGCCAACACCACCGTTTCCTGGTTTGTTTCTTCTCCTGGGGGGAGGGAGCAGCAGGGAGGCTGGGGAATGAATGTTGGAGGCTTTCAATTTACAGGAGGAAATTCCAGGAAAGGGGGGAAGTTAAGAAGAGAAGTCTTCTCAAATCAGTGGCAAAAATATTCTCCAATCACAAAAGCATCTGAGAAAGAATTATTCTCTTGGGGACTAAAAGGAAAAACAAACCCCTCCCAGGCAATTAAGCAGCTAACGTGATGGTCTCCTTGGGGCCCATTTGCACTCGGAGGGGGCAGGAAGGCTTTGCTCCCGTAAGCAGAGCGAGGATGCTGGCTGGGCTTCCTCCTGCAAACTCCCTGGATAACTGCCCAGCAACCAAACCACCACCAAATATGGGCAGAAAAATGCATGATTCAGAGGATAAAAAGCCAAGGAGAGCCGTCCTGAGGAATAGTTTCCATGCAGTGCTGTGTGACCCTCAGGACACCGTAGCCCCAGCAAGAGCAGGTGGGGTGGGGGCAGTGGCAGGCTCCAGGTGACTGGGTGAAGGCTCCAAGAACCCTCTGGTTCCCTGGCCCAGCCTTCAGCTTCAGCCAGGGCTTCTGCCCTCCAAGCCAACAAGGCAGGAGGAGTCGGAGAACGGGGCTGGGAGGTGGCGGGGGCTGATGCTGGGAAGACTCTGCCAGTGGCAAAGGAAGGTCCTCACACAACCCTGCAGCCCTGGCTTGCTGGCCGAGGACACTGAGTGGCACGCCGCCAGCTCCACCCTTGGGAGAAGAGTGAAGCAGGATTTTCTGTGTGGGAGCAAGAGCAGACTGCTTTCTCCCCCCTCTTCCCCACATTCTGCAGGGGCTGGGCCAAGGTCCCAAAGCCTCCCAGGCCCTGGAAGCTTCCCATGAGTGCCTGGGCCAAGCCCCCCAGGGAAAAGTGGGCCCAGGAGAGGGAGCACGATGGAAATTCAAACGGAAGTTAGTCACAGGGGTTCTGTAAGAGCAATTCCAGAAAAGGACCTGGGTTCACCCACATCCCAACACCCCCAAAAATTCCTTCTATGAGTTGTAGCCATCGAGGCTGCCTCTGGGGGAGTGGTAGTGACTGGGGTAGGTCCCTGCTTCTCACCCACTTCTGTTAGGTCAGAATTTTTCATGTTGGGCAGGCTGTATTCACATATGGCAGGTGTATTTCTGACCAACTGAAAATAGATTTATATGCCCCCTTTTCTTTCAACAATATATAGCCAGATAGTGGACAAGTCACCTTAGGTCCCAGCCTATGGCTTAGGGGAGAATGTCAGCCCTGGTGACGTGTGCTACCCCCCAATCCCAGTGAGGCATCCAGAACTCGGACACCGGCTGGCTCATCACACAAGGCTAATTCCTAAACTGGATGAATGGAGAAGTTTGGTTTTTGATGCCCCTGGGCATCCCTCTGCTTGCCTCATCTGCCCACGGTGCCCAGTGGGAAGGAAGAGGGACACATGCCTGGGAGGGGGGCACATAAATTCTGCTGTGTGAGCAGACCCCTCTGACACAGCATCCAATACCACTCCTCCCACCAGCTGTTGCTTGAGTTTAGAGACTTAATTAAGGTGGTCACAACCAGGGACATCTTGGGTCTATCCCAGAGTCAGCCTGATGTCCCCACCTTCCCTCACTCCTACCTCCCAGCACAGAGCCGGAAAGCAATTTCCCTGTCAGCCTCCACCTCTCTACCCCTCAGCCGGGGAAACATGTGCTTCCTGAGATAGTGCGAGCACGAAGTTCTCTGCTGGGTGAGGAGGGCCCGCTGGCCGCCCTACAAGTTCTTCCTTCTCTACGCCGCTCCACTGCTCTGCTCTGGGAGCCCCCAGGGCCTAGCCATGCCCTAAGCCACCAAAATGCACCTCTAGAATTCAACAGTTGTGAGGAGAGCCGTAGGAAGTCAGATGGGTTTCTCTGTCACCCCCGTCCAGCTCTGACACTTGGGAAAGGCCACCTGGTGACCCAAAAGGATTAACTATGAGACCAAAGGAGATCACTCCTGCCATGCAACGGGAAACCTTGTTTCCTTGGGTGGGAGAAGAGGGAAGGAGTTCTGGGGCCTGTTCCCCTTCCTGGTGGGGGTGTGACGGAGGGACGGCTGTTCTGGAAGGAATTCTGGACTGAGCTGCTTCTCTGGCTCTTTCTGCCAGTCTCTGAGCACTTCAAGGCGTGGAACACACATCTGTCTGATGGCCCACATGTCAGACAATGATGTCAGCCTGGAACTATACTTCAGGGGTTCTTACCTCTCCTGGGGAGCCATTCTCTAACTACTCCCTGTTGTCACGCTGTGGCAACACTGCATTCCTCACAACAAATTGGTCCCCAATTCTGACCCTTTAACCGTCAACCAACCTGTGAGTGTGCAAGTGTGCACATCTATGCATACGTGACACCTGCTAGATAAGAAGAGATCAGGTTCCTTCCAAGGCAGGCTATGGGGCAACGGCCTTTCTGTATAAATGTAACGTCCACAGTTACAGCTACAATCACGTCCCTGCCTTATGCCTTAGCTGTGAGAAAGAAAAGATGTCCAATTACGGTAGGCAGGAAAGGCAAGTGCACTTCATGGTAAGTGGGAAGAAGAGAGGGGGAGAACTCAGAAGGAGACAGAATTAGACTAGTACATTAACCTGCTCACTGTTTTCAAATATGCCTCCCACCTTCCTATGACCCTACGTCAATCTCAGACTAGTAGTTTACATGCTACCAATCAAACGTTTTTCTTCTCGTCCCCACTGAGAGACCCAGAACTTGCATAAGGGGGCAGCCCTGCAATCAGGAAACACCAGGGATTAAGTGAGAGGAATGAAGGTGCCCAGGTCGGATACCAGGAAAAATAGCAGCAATATCCCCCTGGCCATTTTCAGCAGGACCAGCTGTTCCCACCCCTGCAGGACGAGCACGACTCAGAACTCCTCCCGCAGTCCTGGACAGCTGGGAAGACCCAAGAATTGTTGACGCACATCCACATTCGGCCAGGAGGGGGCGCCCACGCACCAATTTCATTTACTCCTTTAGCGTTGGGGAGACGCCCCGAACACGCCGCGGCTGCCATCCCTTCAAGGACTGGATACTGGAAGTTGCACAAAGGAAGATCTGCACTGTTTTTGCTCTTCTACCCAACACTTCTTTGCCAAAATAAAGAACAACACGTATGGCGAACCTGTTCCTTGCAAACTACACCTGAGGGGCATTCAGATGGTATCATGGGCCTCTGTTTGGGGTCTCCCCCTTTCTAAGCAGGATAAAAGCAGTTTCTTTATGGGGGACCCGAACCAGATGCGTTCTCTATGGGGCACCCACTTTAGGCAGAGCAGCTACGATCTGTACTTGCACATCTGTGATGTGCCCGGGTGCCATGACAAACACCCGGTGTGTGCATTGTTTCCTATTTACTCAAGTCACCTTGTCACATGGATATTGTCCTCTCTTTCCACATGAGAGAAAGGGAGGTTCAGAGAGGTGAGCGCTCTGCTCGGGGCCACCCGCCCAGCATGGCAGAGCTGGATTCCAAGCCTGTCCTCCTGTCACTCGTCACTTCCTCAGGCCCACTCGGGAGGACGTGGCGAGACCCCTCACTTGAAGGCCACAGGTTAGCCTGAGGAAGAAGTAATCCTCTGGCAACAAAGTGTGACATCCCAAACTGCCTCAGCACACTCTGGAGATGAGACCCGAGCCCAGACGACCTTCTAGGTGTAGTGTGCTGTGCCTGCCTCCCTGATCTGACAGTTCTGCTGCCGCCTTTTTTTCCTTTTTTTTCTTCCTTTTAAAGATGACCGGTAAGGGGATCTCAACCCTTGACTTGGTGTTGTCAGCACCGCGCTCAGCCAGTGAGCAAACCGGCCATCCCTATGTGGGATCCGAACCCGTGGCCTTGGTGTTATCAGCACCACACTCTCCCGAGTGAGCCACGGGCCGGCCCTCCTGCTACAGCCTTGATTGCTCCCCACCCTGCCCAGGGAGGAGGCAACTGGCCACCATGTTGGCTGGAGTCAAAGTGGGGTGGTCACTGTTCCCTCAAGCCCAGGGCCCAGGAGACAGAGAAGCAAATAGGAAAGGAAAGAGGCTAAGCGGGCAAGAAAAAGTGAGTCATCAGAGGCTGGTTACTCAGACGTTCCTTCGCCGAGTGGCCGAGGAAGTGTGCTGGGGCGAGAGGTGCTGATAAGCTGAGAACAGGGTACCATGCCAGCAGGCTACCACACGCAGCACGCCCGTCCTCCCAGGCTCTCTGCTAAACAAAGAGCTGGGTGGGGAGTGCGGTGGCGAGGAGGGACAAAGCCAGGCCAGAGACATTGGGCACGATTCTTCTAAAGAAGCTCTAGAGGGCGGAGTAAGCGCCAGCCACGCTCACCCTCACACACCTCGCTTCTCCCCCATAGTTGAGAATAACCGCCAGCCGGATCTTCAAGGAGGCGCAGCTGTAACCCAGCCAGGAGGAAAAGCGAGATAAAGGGGAGCGGGGAAGAGGCTTCTCACGTGCAGATGTTGGGTTTTCTTCAGGTTTGGAGAACTAAGAGACATTCAAAGGCCTCTTCTGGCCTTGAAGTCATTAACACCACACGTCACCTCACCTAGGGGCTCCTAAGGTAGGGTCAGGGAGCTTATGACCCTACACTTGTAAAACAGTGGGGGGGAGGGGGAGTGTTTCTCTGGGTTTAGGACCCAAAAAGAGGAAGAATCACAACACAAAAGAGGAAATAGAAACCCAAAGAGGTAGACTTTGAGGCAGGGTAGCCAGATAAAATATGGGCTGCCCAGTGTTAGGTATAAGTATGTCCCATGCACATTTGGGAAATACTCATACTAAAAAACGACGTTTATCTGAAATTCAAACTCAACTGAATGTCCTGTATTTTTATTTGCTAACTCTGGCAACCCTAGTTTGAGGTCACAGTCACCGCTCAGACCAGACCTCAGCTCTCCCACTCCCTGAGACTGAGCTATTTCTCTTTGTGCAGAACCATTAAGAGTCACACGCTACATTAATCAAATGAAAAAAATCCAAACCCTGCCCCTCTGAAGAAGCTGCTTTGAGTGTAGTGAGCTACACGCTGTGGAAGCAGGGATCCTCCCCATCCCACAATGCGCTGCCAGGGGCCCTACCCACAGCCCACTGGCACCACGACAGAACGGAGGGGCAAAGCTGGAGTGCAGTGTGGAGTAGCTCTCTCCCGGATGTAAGAGTCTATCCCAGAGCTGCTGTCATTGCTCTGAAGACAGGAGAGTCACATGCCAGAGCAAACACAAAAAAACAAAAAGAAACAACAGGAAGCTCCAGCTGCTCTTCTAAGCCTCACCAAGAGCATGAAGAATGCTGAAGGCAGGGAGCAGGAACTGATGACACCAGGACTCTTCCTGGGACCTAGGAAGCAGGGAGCGGTGCTGTTCTGTGGCTGTTTCCCGATGCTCACTACTAAGGCCAGTGCTTGGTGCCCTGACGTGAAGGCTTGTGAAGCGCCAGCTCACCATTCCTAGTGCGGGGACTCGCCTCCGTGCAGGAGGAAAGCTGCCCTCTCACTGCAGCTAAGGACACCTCCTGACCCCCACCCCACCCCCCCTGCCCCTCACCAGTGTAGCCGCAGGGCATGGAGGAATGCCGAGAGGCCCTCCATGATCAGAAGGATGGCCACAGTCAGGGTGGCAAAGGCGGCAAAGATGAAGAACAGCGCCAGCCCTCCTGCCAAGCTCTTCACGCTCAGGCCGATGTGGATCACCATGGTCCAAAGCACCTCCGAGAGCTCTGGGGAACGAACGGGGAGACACAACATCGGATTCAGTGCTGCACGTGGTGGCCGTGGGCCTTGTATTCTGCTCCGCCATCCCTCACCTGCAGGGATCCCTGCACCCTGGCTTCCCACGGCCTCAGTGGGACCACCATGCATAGCTAACCTGACACATGTGCTGATCCTCTTATCTGTACTCGTTCTTCCTGGATTCAGGAGCCTGAGCAATTCCAGAACCTTTATGTGATTTCCACTCTATTTAGGCCTCTCACCAAGTGCTCAAAGAAGGGGAAACCACAGTTCTGGATCAGAGAGAAACAGACTCACGTGCATGAGCGAGGCTAAGGGCCCAGAGCCGCAGGTAGGAGGCTGTGTTGGAGATGCAGCCCAGGCAGTACTCGATGGTGTGGATGGCCTGGTGGACCATGGTGTCCCCAAAGTCAAACTGTTGTGGGAGGAAATCAGAGAGACGGTATAAGGCTCAGAGCGGAATGTGCAGGAGCTTTGAGTTGTGGCCACTTGGCACTGAGCCTGGGCAGGGGACTGCACTTCCTGTGGCTGTCACTCACCTTTGGAGGGCCAGGAGCACCCCGTGTTGAGCTCAGGTGAAGATTTCAGTGATGCCCTCCCCACAGATCCTGCCTGGCTTAGTCCCCAACTGGGGACCCCAGTTCCCTTCAACATTCTACACTTGAATGAACTGCACCTTCACGACATTCTTCTCCCTGCTCGGCTCTCAGCTCAAGAGTGGAACGTATGCTGAGTGAACAGCGCTCAGCAGTGAACACGACTGCAACCATGCACAACGGGATCATCCGGTCCTGCACCTGCCGGTGAACCCGGCTGGGCTGATTCCCACCTTGCACTGAGGGTGCCAGAGAGGAAAGTGTCCTTGCTCAGAATAAGCCATCGAGAGCGGGCAGGGATTCTCCCCAGGCTGCATCCTGCTCTCAGGCCAGAAACTGCCAAAAGATTAAACCTCCAGAGTCACTTCACTTATTTCTTTTACAGCCTTTTGGGAGCAAGATAATCCTTTTCTGTTGAGACTTCTGAAAAGATTACACAGGGAAGTTTTGACAAAAGTTCTACCAATTCCCACATGGTCCACTGATTAAGACCAAGTGGCACATCTCCTGTTTGCTTTCGTTCTCACGCTCCCTTTCTCCCGGCTTTCCTTTCAACACTAAGAATTCTTTTCAGAATAAAGGGTAGGCTGGAACAAGCTCTCGGGAGTCCACTCTCAGAACTGCTGCAAGCATGGTCGGGTGTGAGTGCGGGCTTCCAAATTCGTGATGTTCTAGAAGCCCCAGGTGCTTTTCCCATCCTCTCACTTTTCTATGTGGAGCCCAAAGACCAAGAGGCGGTTCCCTTCCCAGGGCTCCTCCCCAGAGCCCAGACAGAATCTCCGGGGGCCTCCAGACACTCCTGAGGGCTCAGCTGCCCCCATCCAACAGGTCCTCAGGTCAGGGTCTATTTTTCCCCTGCCGTTCCTTTCAAGACTCACATGACTCCACTCCCAAAGGGTGCCAGAAATGCCTTGGGAAATCGCATGAGGGCAGGACTAGAGAAAGGGCCCAGGCCAGAGGGGTGCATGTTGGAGCCGGCCAGGGGGGAGAGCAGCCGGCTCTACCACGCCACTCCTGGGCAAATGCCTCCTTTCCCCCTCCTCAGACTATCTGCGCCAGCTACTTCTGGGCTCTTCTCCTGGAACAGTATCTTCATGCCTCTTACTCACTCTGAAAACTAGGGTAACCTAGTTACCCTGCGCTACACCTCAGTCCAGTCCCAACAGTGCTGTTAGGAGCGCTTTCCTGTCACTGCTGGCTGTCACCCCAACGCCTGTATTGAGAGGAAGGAAAAGTCTGCAGCTCCGAGGAGTGCAGGCCTTTGCTCTTGAGAGCTCTGTGAGAGCAGAGACTGCCGGGGTCCGTTAGGAGCAGCCCCTCCGCATTTTTATTCCACTTAGTTTCTCCCATTAAAAAAAGGAAAGGAGTTGGGCCGGCCCGGTGGCGCACTGGAGAGTGTGTGGCTTGGGAGTGCAGCAGCGCTCCCGCCGAGGGTTCAGATCCCATGTGGAGACCGGTTCCCGCTCACTGGCTGAGCACAGTGCGAGCGCAACACTGAGGGTTACAATCCCGTTACCGGTCAGTAAAAAGGACAAAAAGGGAAAAAAAAAAAAAAAAAAAAAAAGGAAAGGAGAGGAGAGGAGGGGGAAGCTTCCTGCCCAGGCACTACCCTTGCTTTCCCCTCCCCTTCGTCCCGACTTCCCACCTCCTAACCCTGGGCAAGTGGTCTCAGGTGAGGTGAGAATGAAGTGAGAAACCAGCCCCGCATTTAGGAGGAGTCTGTCACTCAGCGCATGCCCAGTGCAAGTCACCTATGACTTGGTCGCTCTTCTCAACCTCGGTCTCCTCTCTGACCCACCGTTCCTCACCCTACAGCACCCTGGCTTCTCCCCTCTCTGCTCTACACAGCGGCTCCTCTTAGCAAGGTCACCCTCCCCTCCCAGCGGCTAAATCTCACGACTCTGTGTCCCTGACTGTGCCTTGGCAGTGCTGTCGCCACTCCTCTTCCTCCTCCTGGAGACTCTTGCCTCTGCTCCGTTTCCTCCTACCTGTCTGGACATTCCTTCTTAGTCATCATCATGGTGTTTCCTTAAAGGATGATGTGTCCTGGAGTTCCAGCCTCAGCCCTTCTGTCTGTCCTGTGGGATTGCCACTCAGGGCTTTCATGGCCACTCCTATGAGTGACTCCCAAATAGACGTCTCCAGCTCCACCTGCCTGTTTTCAACTAGCGGTGCCGCATCTCACGGTGTGGCCCAGTGCTCCAAACTCAAGGCCAACCATGAACCGCTCTCGTCTGGCCCCACTAAGACCTACTTCACCTCCATGTCCCGTGTCCAACAGAGTGCCAGGCACCTGAGCCTGGGAGTCAGTCTCAAACCTTCGCTCAGGCACTGGGATCTGTAGCTTTTACTCCCTTAACATCTCATATTGGTCCCTTCCTCTCCTCCTGCAAATGTCTTCCTTCACTTCAGGCCCCCCAGTTCTTTCCAGCATCACATCAAACTAGGTGGTGTCCATGCCTCCAGGCTGTGCCCCTCCCCGATCCAATACACCTACAACACCGCCACTAGGGGTGCTCCAGCAATGCACACGTGGCTGCGTTACCTCCAGCTTCATCTCCCTCTAATGGCTCCTTGACGCCCAAATGAGGCAACAACTGCTATGGCTGGTCTCTGCCAACCTCTAGTCTCACCTTACCAGTCCCCCAACTCCTGCCTCTGTGCTCCAGCTGAGCTGAATACTTGCTTATCCCTAACACATAATGGGCCCGCAGGCCTTTCACTTTTATAAAGCTACATATGCTGGCAGGTCTGCAGCTTAGGAATAACTTCCTCAGGGACTCCTTTCCTGGTCTCCTCTGCCCCTCTTCCCCCCCAGTGTTTGTCAGGTGCCCTTTGCTGTGGTCCCACAGCATCCTGGGCACACTTCTATTGCAGCATCTGTCACTCAGACTGTCTCACCAGTTGGCCTGGGCGATTCTTAAAGGCAAGAACTATGTCTTTCTTCTCTCAGTTTCTGCAGCACTCAACACAGTGCTTGACACATGGATGGTGAATGAACACACAGATGAATGGGTGGGCAGGTGGGTGGACATACAGATGGACGGGCAGGCAGATAGACGCGTGGATGGGTGGGTGGGCGGGTGAACGCCTGGATGGGGGGATGAATACACTTGGTGAGAAGACAGTGGGGAGAGGTGTCACTGACCCTCATTGAGAGGTTCCAGACTTTGACGATTTCGCAGGCAACTAACTAGCCTGGTGCTGGTTTGCACATGGACTGAGTACCCTGCAGGGAGAAAGACTAATGCTTCCACCAGGCTGGAGCAATAGCTTGCATGGGACAAGTAAGTTTTCACAGCCAGCCAAAACAGGGGCAGTCTAGAAGTATGCTGGACACTTTTAAAGAAACTGTTTGTTTGAAATCATGAGATAGCTGTCATAGTTATCTAAATTTGGCTGTAGAGAACCACAGTAGGTTAGATAATCTTTACCAGCCTGGTAAAGATAATGTTATGACTACTTAGGAAGCCAGGGGAAGCTGAATCCTGAGCAAACTGGGTGGCCAGAGACTGGGAAGACTGAATCAGAGTCCGCCCTGTTTGGATGTCCAATACCCCAAGACATGACCACGCTGGTACACAACAGTTGGTTGGACCATTCTGACAATGACCATGGCACTGGGTGCTTGACTACGGAGACATTTAGAAAGCAGTACTGTTGGAAGTGATGATACTGGGACAGGGCTGGGCTCTGTACCAACATGGAACACACCCCCACACAGCCCTACCAAGCAACTCAGCCAGCGGCTGTGCACGGATGAGCAGTCCGGGAACTCAGAAACTCCTTTAGGCCAGTAAAGGACCCCTCCAGACCTCAGGAAAACCAAGCGCTGCCTGTTTCTACACAGAACAGCAAAGGCTTCCCCATTCACATCCCACTACCCCCATAGAGAGGACCAGGAGAACCAGGAAAGGGAAGATACGGTTTACAGGCCTGGGGACTTTTGGGAGAAGTTCTGGGGGAAGATGCAAACAGTGCAGAAAGGCCTTTTAATAACCAACCTCAGAACACATCTGTGTATAAATGAGTCACTGCTGAGCCAGAATGCCTTCTACTCTAGACGTGGCTTGAATATTTGGTCAACTTTCTCTGTTATGCTGTATGTGTGGCTGATATAATATGAACTGCTTTCACTCAGATGGATTATTTTTCCTGTGACGCATCTGAGAGGCAAAGCCTCCTTTTGAAAGCTGTCTATCTCTTGCCTGGGTCACATGAAAGCAGAGCTGACCCCAAGCAAGGGCCCAGCGATTCTACCCTGAAGCATCACCAAGCTGACGAGGGCAGCAGGAAGAAGCTGGCTGCATCTCAGACAGGGCAAGGGGAAGCTTTGCTCACACGCACTCAGAGGAGTAGGGAGGAAACAGCCACTTGCAGTGGCAGAGCAACCACACCACCACAGGAGAGGAAGGCTCAGGCCAAGGAACTGAACCCCCAGGGGAGGTCACTTCAAGAATGCCAACACAGACATTACTTGCAGCTCCTTTCAAAGCCATTCTTAAAGGTGTTAGGTCAGCAAAGTCAATGGAACACAGACAGAGGTGACCGACATGAGATGCGGTTAGTGGAGATGAGCTTCTTTAGAACACAGGTTCGTGAACTGATCAGACATGGCCAGTGAGATGCAGGGTGCATGGGTGGCATGTGTGTGGCCCCCAAATGCAGCAAGGTCAGCAGAGTGATCACGAGGATGGGAAGAGAGAAGCCCCAGATAAACACGAAGGCGAAGCCAGCTTTGTTCTTACCACTGCGTCCTCGGTAGGCTTGAAAACACAAATTTACACTTAGTGGGAAGCCACACCGCACACAGGTCACACGTTACACTTCTTGGGGAGGACTGTTAATGTGCAATGGGGCTACTATGCTGGAGGCAGACCTCCTCAGCACACACGCAAAGCAAAATCAGCAGGAATCGAGAGCATTAAGATACGTATTATAAAAAAGCACTCCAACCCTTACAATGTCTTTTTAAACAAACATATACATAGTGGAAGTGGTCAGCCAGACTGAAAAGTCCAATCTGGGTCCTCAACTCCTGTACTATTTGATTTTAAAAGTACATCATGAATAGATGAGATTCAACAGCTCAGTTCAGAGGCTTTGTGCTGTGAGAGGTCAGGCAAGGAGAGTAGATTTTTAAAAAGTGGGCTTAAAGGTACGTGTTAAGGAAAAGTCTAGTCTGGCCTGACTATTTTTCACTCTCCCTGTAAAACACAGACAAATAACAAAAATGACTCAAACAAAATATCTGCAATAAGAACACATTGGTGGGATAGGACTTCAGAAGTACCCATGATTGCAGCTAGTAAATCATGTAACTGAACAGTTCTTGGAAGGACCAAGGATGAAGAAGCTACTCTAGGTGGCCTATAAACATAGGTAATAAAGCTGGGATGCTGGGGCCTGCTGTGCCTCGGCCAAGGAGAGCAGTTAGTAATTGAGAGCTGTGTGCAGAGCACTGCAGCCAACGTGGAATTCAAGAAGAACAGAGTGAAACTACTGCGGGCTCTGCGGGCGACACTTGGGGCTTAGAACAGGGACCACAGGAAAAAGCTGTGGTGCCCTAAGAGGTCCCGAAGGCAGGCTGATTAATTAGCATTTTTATCTTTTCAGGAGAAGACTCAAGAGAGGTCTCCTAGGTGCACAAGACTAGGGTGACCTGAGGGAAGGAGAGGAAGCCCACACCGCTGGATCTTACCTCTTCCGCGTCCTCTGAATGGGTGGAGAGCTGGTCATGCTGAATAATCTCAGCATCCTCCTCTGTTGGTCCGTTGCCCACCCTGATCCCACCAAAGTTGAGAGTTCCCTACACAGATGAACAGAAAGAGTAGAATTTGCCTGGGATTTAGCATAACATTCTGTGAGGCAGGGAATGGTGATGGTTAGCACATACAAACCTCAGGGAAGCATGTAGTCTAACAACAGAGACAGAGCTCACTGATTGAACAGCCAAGTAAAACCCCAGATGTCCCCACCCCCCCACCGCCTCCCCAGCCCCAGCCCACACGCCCCACAGCGTCCTGCTTCAGAGGACATGCGCGCTTCTGCCTCTCCTTAATCAGTGCTAACTGAGACTCCTGCAGGAATGGAAAGCTAACACCAACGGACTCTCGGAACAAGGGCAGTGCTACCTGTAAAACCCATAAGGGCCTAAGTGTTTCTGCAACTTAAGATTAGATGTTCTAAGATGGAGGGGAGCCAAACAACATGGTGACTGTACCCTGGTCTGGTAAGCTTGCAACAGGAGCCCAAGAGTTCCAGCAACCTTTCCCAGAAATGTACCAGGTCTCTGCCCAGAAACAAAGGACTTTCTAGGTCAGAGGAGGTAAAAAAAGTAGGGCCGAGCCCGTGGCACACTCAGGAGAGTGCGGTGCTGATAACACTAAGGCCACGGGTTCGGATCCCATATAGGGATGGATGGTTCGCTCACTGGCTGAGCATGGTGCTGATGACACCAAGTCAAGGGTTAAGCTCCCCTTACCGGTCATCTTTTAAAAAAAAAAAAGCTTAATGTACATGCACTGTGGCTCTCCTCCTTCAGTGGAAGATCTGGAGTGTCAACACAAACTCTTCCCCAGGTATGTGGGCAGAGGCTCACCGGGTGTTTGCTGCTTCTGACTTCACAGGTACAGTCTTCAGCAGGGTCGCCACAAGCAGAATTTTAAAGTCAACTCGATTTGATAAAACTTGTGTTTACTAGGGCAAAGGACTATAAAAACCAGGCAGAACTGAGTTAAGTCTGACAGATACCAGTTAGTGCTGACCTGCCACAGAGTGAAAAAAACTTAAGAAACAACCCCTAGGACCGGCCCGTGGCTCACTCGGGAGAGTGCGGTGCTGATAGCACCAAGGCCCCGGGTTCGGATCCCATATAGGGATGGCCGGTTGCTCACTGGGTGAGCGTGGTGCTGACAACACCAAGTCGAGGGTTAAGATCCCCTTACCGGTCATCTTTAAAAAAAAAAAAAAAAAGAAAGAAACGACTCCTAGGACCACTTCACGTGGTTTCTGTCCAGGGAGCCAAACAAGACGAGTTCAGGAGCTGCACTCCTACGAAACGGCCTTCATGGTGGCAGTCCGGCAGTGCACCAGCAGGTCTGGTCAACTGCCCCGTGGCCCCACTCTTGGCTTCACTGTTGGGGGTTGGGGGTGTGCCTTTTCCCACAGCTTACTGAGCAGCTCAGAGCTCAGTGCTGGCACACATTCTCCTTCTTCCTCTAGCACTGGTTGTCACACACAGGTCAGAGAACCAGCTGCATTAGAATCACCTTGAAAGCTGCATTCTAAATAGAGATTCTCAAATTCTACCCCCCAGAAACGATCAATTTAGTAGGTTTGGGGTGGGGCCCAGGAAATCCGTATTTAAAAAATATTTCCCCAAGTATAAATTGTATAATCATTGTGAAGGGTCTACCAAAATTTAAAACACATGCACCCTCTGAGATTCAGCAATCCCACTGCTGAGACAGCAGTGCTTGCAAAACTCTATGAAGATATATGGACAAGGAAGTTCCCGAATCATTGCTTGTAACAGCAAAGAACTGGGAACAAGCAACACATCTATCAACAAGAGAGCAATTACCTAATTTTGGCACATCCGACAGAATATTCTATGGAATGCTAAGGCTACCTTAAAGGAGAGTGATTATTCCCTGTGAAACAATCTCTAAGATACAGTAAAATTTTAAAAACCTAATAAATCAAGGCACAGAGGAGTGCTACTATTTAAAACATAAATCCTAATGTGTTTCTGTCTCTCCCCACACACACACACACACACCCCCCCCACCCAACACATTTGAATCAATAGATGACAGATAGATAGATGCTGGAGGAAAGCCCCACCTGTAACGACACCCTGAGGAGAACTGTGGCAGGCACAGGAGGCTTGCTTCTGAGTTAGTACTATCTGTATTCTCTAGCCAAGTCCACCTATTGCTTTTTTTTTTTTTTAATGCCAGTAGGGGATTATCTGGGCCATGGTATTATGGGTCACTTTTATTTCTTCTTCCACTTACGTGTTTTATTTTAATATCCTAAGAAATAAATTCAAAGTTTGTCAGGTGATTCTGATGTACAGTCAGATTTGGAAACCACTGATGCCTGGGCGCCTCCAGGTCATGCACGTACAGGCTGAGCATCCCTAATCCAAAATCCAAATGCTCCAATGAGTATTTCCTTTGAGCATCATGTTAGCACTCAAAAAGTTTCAAATCTTGAAGCATTTCATATTTGGGATTTGGGGATTAGGGATGTATTCTGAAAATATTCCAAAATCTGAAACAATCTGAAATCCAAACCATTTCTGGTCCCCGGCATTTCAGAAAGGGATACTCAACCTGTATTACACCTGCCAACCTTCAAAAGGTGGACTGAAAGCACAAGAATGGGCACAAGAGGGGACACTGGTGTATCCTGGGCTGAGTTCTGGAGTAGAGGAAGAGGACTTCACAGTTCAAGGCTCTCAAAGCAGAAGGCCATTTCCAAAGCTTTCCCCAACCAGCAGATAAGGTGAGGGGCAGACAAGTTAAAACTCCCAGTCAGACACTAACTAGTATCCCTTCACTAGAACACAGGGAATGAGTTACAGGAAGGGGGATGAGAGACACACACCAGTAGAAAAAAGAAAAGAAAAATTCAACTGTGAAACAAAAACACATCAATGTTTATATCCTCGGCCCTTTGGGGTTAAGAATTCAGGATGCTTTTTGTAGAAGGATCATCCTGATGCCTTCACTCTGCTCTCCAGAAATAGATGTTTGGCTAAAAAAAAAAACAGTGGGATAAGACCCTACGAATATGCGGTTTTCCTGGCTGGGGACCTTTAACCTAGAGTTTATCATAGAAGAGACTGCCAGATTTAAAAGCATCAAGATCTTCTCAGAAACACACCCTTCTGTATGCTATGACTGGTAGAAAGGAAAACATGTGGAAAGATCATCAGTAATAGGTAGTAAGAGCGCTAAGGGTTATTTTCTTTCTCACAGGTAAGGAAAGAGTAAGTCCTGACTTGAAAATAATTTTTAGCAAAAAGCTTAAAATTTCTTCTGACCCAAAATATTGGGCCTTTTTAACTATTTCTAAAAGAATGACTATAGCAGTTTTACAAGTTTAAAATGATTAGAACTACTAGAACATAGAAGTACAAGTAATCATTGCTGGTGAGACTTTTTAAAAATCTTATAGATTCATAACCTAGAATATGTTGAATTAATTTAATATTAGTACATTATAAGACTTTGCTTAAAAGATGTTTAAGATTGGGCTGACCGCGTGGCTCACTCGGGAGAGTGCGGCACTGGGAGCGCAGCGACGCTCCCGCCGCGGGTTAGGATCCTATATAGGGATGGCCGGTGCGCTCACTGGCTGAGCACGGTCGCAAAAAAAAAAAAAAAAAAAGATGTTTAAGATGTTTTTAAGGACAAATATTCAAATGCTTAACATTCAAAGTGCTGTTCTCGAATCATAAATTAGTATCAGAAAAGGGAAAGATCAAGACAGATGACGACTTCGGTTATTACACCAGATGTCCAGTACACAAGACATACGGGAAAATGGAGGTCTTATTGCAATAGCTGAGAACACTAGGGCTCTGAGTCTTTCACAAAAAAGTAAGCATGTACAAACTTTCACTTTAAAGAGGGTAAGTCACGGCTAAAAAGGACTACCTGTTCAAGTACCTATAAAGTAGAACTCTAAAGCACAGGGAAAGCAATTCGAGAATCTCACCTCCATGCTAAAAATCACCCAATATATGGTCACAAAATACAGACATAAAAGTGGATGAGTCCAAGGGTTGTCATCTTGGATGAAGACAATAGGACTCAGAGAGGGGATGACAGCCACTTTGCTCCATGGACATGACTGTACTTACATATTTGAATAGAAAGTTAATAGACCGATAGTAAAGATGGTAGCAGAACCTATTCTTAAGAGGCGGAAATTTCTCCCGTCATCATCTCAATGAGTAACAAGGACATACTTCCCAAGAGCACACATGTCCCATGTTCTCAATATAGTTAAAAAATATTCTGCTGCACTGTTTGCTGCCTCTTTAAACAAAATGTGATGGTTTGGTTTTAATTCACTCACTGTTGCAGCCGCTGCTGCCTCTAGTCCCTGTTGGCTCGGGGTTGGGCTGACTGGGGCCTCCACAGGTTGCCCTTCCTGATAGTGAATGGAAGAAGAGAGGAAGGGAGAAGAAAATAAAAGAGGGAGGAAGTGAAGGGGGAGACAAATGGAGGGAACACGGAGGGATGAAGATGGTCAGAAAAGGGAGAAGGAGGGTCTGGTAACTCAGCTGCTCTCCAACAGGGGTAATAATCTAACAGTCGTATGAGAGTCATGCAGCAAGATCTTTTGGGTTTTCCTAGGCAGTGTCATAAGTAAGCATCACTGGACAGCAAGAAATTATGCACAATACTGAACATCTGGCAAATTTAACCGTGTGTGTATGTGTGTGTGTGTGTGTAGAATTCATATGCACACATATATTAAGTAAACACACGCAAGTGTGCGGCTTTTTAAAAAGAAAAAAAACCAATGTGCTTTGAACCAAACCTTTTCCGCGGATGTTCTGGTGGGTGAAAGTATCATGGTCTCATTTCAAAAGAACATGTCTCAGCGTCAGTCCTGTGGCTGCCCAGGCAAACCACATAAGAGGGCTCACCCATCTGCAGCTCTCGCAGCCCTGCTTCGGCTGATGCCGCATCTAGACAGGCCCAGGCCTGGATTTTGCCAAGCACAGCATGAGCAAAGCATGACCAGGAAAGGTAAAAACGTATGACTTATTCTCTCTACCACAGCTACTCAAAGGTGAATCCAGATGTCTGAGCAGCAAATACATGTTTCTCTGACTTCGGCAGGCCCAGTGCTCAAGCTGGGATATAACACAAACGCATTTTAAAAGTTTACAAATTTGCGCACAATTAATTGTATCTACTGGGGAATTGTCTTGATCTTAAAATGTCTAGTAACTTTCAGCAATAGAAATATCACCCACCAAATGCTTCCTCCTCAAATACTGATGGCGAAGGACCAGTGGCTTAAATAGCAGCATCCAAGGTACGCACAGGAACGCAACCACTACCAGGAAACACTGAATTCCTTTCTGCAAAGTAAGGACAAGGCATATTACATAAAAGTCCATTAACTAAATATACAGTTTTTAAGTCCAACACAAATTTCTCTGAAAAAGTACTTTCTTACTGATCTATGAATAAGACTATCAAGTTTCTCCAAGTAATTAATAGATGTGGCAAAGCCCAAGAATTGTCCCACAAGATGACAGTTATAAATTATACCCTTTCTGGATACAACAATGACAGTGGAAATCTCCTAAACTAAGGAGGATGGTCTGAATGTAGATGTGGAGGTAGGGGCTGAAAACCAAATGCTAGAGAAAGGTTCTTTAAGGCTTTTTTATGCTCAGAGAAACATCTGGCTTCCTGACCTAGGATAACCACTTAAGACAGCCCACCTCTGGGTTGACACACCTGTCCAGAATACAGCATCGCATTACCAGATTCCGGGTAGGAAAAGAGGAACATGTTTATAAAATGGATCAGCAGACTTGGGGCGTTCTCCGACGTACGAGCATCATAGGCCGTCCACTTATAAAAAATAAGGACAACCAAGTAGCCAAACAAAGAGGTCATGAAGATTATTTCAGGAATAAATCCAAAGTAGATATTCAGGGGCTTTTTGAAATAGCTAAATAGGGAGAGAGAAAAAAACGTTAAAGGCGAACAGACCTAGGGCCTCTCACTGAGTGGAGGACTCACTAGATTTTTCTGCCTAACACTCCTTCAGTTCTGTCTTTATCACCGTAAGCAGCAGCAACCAGAAGCACTGCAGGCAACACAGACAATGCAGGATTAGCTATCACTTCCAACTTTTGGACCTTGAATCACTCCACTAACACCCTCCTCCTTCTCTCTGTGGGAAAGAGACTAGAAAATCTGGTATGTTCTACGACCACAATTCATAATTTTACATGAGTTACATATCAAAGAAGAAAAAGAACTCACTCATTTCTGTAAAAATTGCTCAAGTTTTTTTCAAAGATCTTTACCACAGCTGTGCATGGTTAAGGGACTAATACTAAGACTTATTTGAGATCATGAGATTTATAAAAGCACTTCTATAACACAGAATGGAGTTCTGAGTTATTAATCCCATCCCAAAGATGTTATGATTTAATTAGGCAAAAACATTATCTAAACTATGCACATTCTTAGGACAGGAACAGAGTGGCTCACACATGGTTGAAAAGGCTCAGGCTGACTCCAAACAGCATGTGGATGATACCAAGGATAACAGACATCTTCATCTTAAAGGAGTTAAGGAAGGTCAGTTTATTGGTAGCAATGTTCCAAATCTGTCACAGTACAAGAAAACAAAAAGGTATTACAAAGAATTCTCAAATGGAAAAATACTATTCATCTGATGGAGTTTGGTGTGTTGTCCCCTCCAAAACTCAAGTGGAAATTTGATCCCCATTTGAGTCATGGGGACAGATCCCTCATGAATGGATTAATGCTCTCCCTGGGGGAGGGGGATTAATGAGTGAGTTCTTGCTCTATTAGTTCCCGCGAGAGCTCGTTACTTAAAAAGACCCTGGCACCTTCTCTCTCTCTCTTGCTTCCTCTCGCCATGTGATCTGCTTGTACCTGCCAGCTGTCTGCCACTTTTCAACCATGAGTAGAAACAGCCTGAGGCCCGTGCCAGATGCAGCTGTCCCAGAACCGTAAGCCAAATAAACCTCTTTCCTTTATAAATTACCCAGTCTCAGGTATTCTGTTATAGCAACACAAAATGGACTAAAACATCATCTGTTTAAAAATTAGTTGTTTGAGGATTAAATCAGATATGCTGAGGGTTAGCAATTGGTCCATAGAAAGCATTTCAGAAATATTAGCTTCTGTGATAATTAAAATAATTAACTTTGTACCTCCCCATCTCTATGCCTTTGCACACACTTCTCCTTACTTATACCAACGTGAATTTTTTTTAAAGGCCAGAGTAATTCCCATTTTTTAAAGAAAACCTTTGTCTTTCTGGCCCACAGTGATCTGTTTTTCCTCTGGAATTTTGTAATCCTTACTGTTTAATGCTTATTCTTAACTTTTTGGCCCCCACTCCTTTTTTAAATACACAATAAAAAAGATTTGATCATACTTAATTTGCTTAAGTATTTGAAAAAAAAATCTGGGATAAGTTTTTGAAAGTATGTAAAGATAAGAATGAAAGTCTAAAATCTATTGGAAAGAGATTTTTTGCTTTGTTAAAATATCTGCTAAAAATAAAAAAAAAATAAAAATAAAACTATGTTAAACAGAAATAAATTAAGAACTGGGAAGGAGTCTTGAAAACTAATATTCCCGGAGTCAATGTTATTAGCTATGTCATAGAAAAGTAGTGCAGTTAATCTCATACGAGTAGAGAGTAGAATAATGGTTACAAGAGACTGGTGCGGGAGAGGGGAACGGGGAGAAGGTGGTCAGTGTGTACGAAACATTAGAGAGACAGGGAGAATGGGACCTAGTGCTCTATAATGACATAGGGGACTGTATAGCTCACCACAAAGTACCGTGTGTCTTTGAGTAGCTACTCAGGATGCTGCTGAATGTTGCTAACACAAAGAACGGACAAGTGTTTGAGATGACGGACATACTAAGCACCCGGATAGGGTCACTGCACGCAGTACGGATGGCTTAATTATCATGTTGTACTCCATAAATATACACAATTATCATGAGTCAATTAAGAAAAATAAATTTAAAGGAGAGAAAAAAGAAAGGGAAATAAAGAGTAGACTAGTGATCACCAGGGCCAGGGCAGGGAGGGGGCAGCTGGGGAAAGGCTGGTAGATTGGTACAAGGTTACAAAGTTACAGTTAGATAGGAATAACAAGTTCTGGTGCTCTGGGCTGATAATAGCTAATATTATTGTACTGTGTGTTTCAAGATAGCCAGAAGAGAGGATCTTGAATGTTATAGCCACAAAGAAATGATAAATGTTTAGGTGATATGCTAACTATTCTGCTAGATTATACAATCTATGCATGTATTGAAAAAACAAATTGTACCCCATAAACATGTACAATGAAAAAAAAAGTGATGCAGGAAAAAATATTTGGCTCCCCAAGGTACTTGGGTCTCTTATGGCTTCAATGGACTCTAAACAGATACATTGAGGTTTTTCAAAAATATGTCAACTAAAAACCAAATAACTATCTATCTTCACTTTAATTCCCTCACTTGGGCATTACAGTTAAAAAATTCAGGGTTACCATGTAGGAAAGAAGTACTCTTACCGGATCGATGCCAAAAGGGTAGGGTCCACCAAAAACTCCAGAGACGGCTGGGTTCAGCTGGAGAACAGGGTTCCCCCGAAGTGTCTCATCCCTAACCATGTTAGGAGAAAAGGCACATTTATATTTGATCAAGAAAGGCAGACTTGTGGGGCCCAGAAACTGACCCCCAAAGAAACTACTACAGCTATCTTGTCTCTTCAATAAAAGAGGACGGACTATGAGGGTACTTCAAAAAGTCTGTAGAAAAATAGAATCAAAAAATACAGGGCCAGCCCGTGGCTCACTTGGGAGAGTGCGGTGCTGATAACACCAAGGCCATGGGTTCGGATCCCACATAGGGATGGCCGGTTCGCTCACTGGCTGAGTGTGGTGCTGACAACACCAAGGCCATGGGTTCGGATCCCACATAGGGATGGCCGGTTCGCTCACTGGCTGAGTGTGGTGCTGACAACACCAAGGCCATGGGTTCGGATCCCACATAGGGATGGCCGGTTCGCTCACTGGCTGAGTGTGGTGCTGACAACACCAAGGCCATGGGTTCGGATCCCACATAGGGATGGCCGGTTCGCTCACTGGCTGAGTGTGGTGCTGACAACACCAAGGCCATGGGTTCGGATCCCACATAGGGATGGCCGGTTCGCTCACTGGCTGAGTGTGGTGCTGACAACACCAAGTCAAGGGTTAAGATCCCCTTACCGGTCATCTTTTGAAAAAAAAATAAAAATAAAAAAAAATACAGGGCTGGCCCCTGGCTCACTTGGGAGAGCGTGGTGCTGACAACACCAAGGCCATGGGTTCGGATAAGATCCCCTTACTGGTCATCTTAAAAAAAAAAAAAAAAAAAACGAACCTTTCCATGAACTTTTTGAAGACCTTCATAGTGATGGAGAATGAGAAGGGATCACAAATGGGAAAAAAATAATAATAATAATTAAACACAAACACACAACCAAGTAGGAAATTTGGCGAATCTGCTTCTAATTTAGAAAAAGAATAAATGCACTTAATGTATAGTCTCAGTTCCTTGATACTTGCTGAACAAATCACAAAACACTGCACAGGTTGAAAAATAAATAAGAGGAGACATTGCATGCTTCTGAAACAGAGACGATGTCAACCACTTCCTAAAGAACCACTTAAAAATCAGAGCTGAACATGAAAGAAATAAGCTTTGAGTCTTAGCTTCTTCTGTAACTTACGTCCAATTAGTAAACATCGGCCGTACACTCCAGGATGACCCAAAGATATTAAGAGACTTGGAAAAGCAATCATTGTAGATGAGGCCAGTGTACATGGAGAACACGCCCATTAATAGAATAATGTACCGGCCACTGAACACAGTGCTAAACATCTGGGAATCAGAAGAAAGAAGTAATGAGAATATACTCCCTGCAGCTCACGTTGGGACAAGGTTTAGTACTCCCTAGCCCTTCCTCTTGTGCTACTTTACCACATCCTGCTTCAGAGAGCTTGAAGTACAAAGATCAAAATACAATGCTAATGAGAAATCCACTGTCACAGCCTCTTTAGTGTTAAAATGACCGTAACTTCTCTATTCCCTTTCAATAAATTCATGGATTAAAGACTTCCAGATCATAATTTTCACAATGAATGCTTGAGAGATTATAAAATTTCAGTCCAATGCAGATGCAACTTAACCATTACCTCATTCTCATTCTTCTGGGACAGAATCCGGCTCTCCCTTAACACCATCCATACAGCAAAAAGGGTCATCAAAATGCCATGGCCAAAGTCTCCAAACATCACAGCAAATAGAAAAGGGAAAGTGATGATAGTATATGGAGCTAGAAAGATATCAAAGAAACACACAAGGTACATAAAACTGCAACAATTCCTCAAATATCCCATTCCTCTCCATGCTCTGAGATCAATATACAGTGATTTATTCTTAGGCTGCCAGACAGATGGACTCTCAGGGAAAATCTTTCATGAAAGGCAGGATCTACATACTCTCACAAAGCAGCTGATGGAATTTGAGCTACTGCTAACATTTTATTTTTATTTTTTTAAAAAGATGACCGGTAAGGGGATCTTATCCCTTGACTTGATGTTTTCTGCACCACACTCTCCCAAGTGAGCCAACCGGCCATCCCTATATGGGATCCGAACCCATGGCCTTGGTGTTATCAGCACCACTCTCTCCAAGTGAGACACGGGCCGGCCCCCTGCTAACATTTTAAACAAAGAACATGGGAAACGAAGGTGTAGCCCTGGGAACACTGTGGTTTGTTCTTCAATTCCTTTTTCCTAACTCTTGGGACACTGCTCCTGGGTCAGGCCAGCTGTCTCTCTTCGTGCGGCAACCATTTCCCAGCTAAATAAAGCTACCAACTCATGGGGAAAAGCCTAGAACCAGAGCAAAGCAGGTCCTGCATAAGGATCCAGCTTAAAACAAATCCTCAGACTCTTGATTTAATAATTAACTCTCCAAACAGAGGAGAAATCTGCCTTGTGCCTAACATGGTCAATAATTGCTATATTTTCTCTGTCTAACCTTGGAACAGGGAAGCCAGGAAGAAGCCACTTTAAAACATCAGATATCTTGGAAAAAACATTTGCTTACAACAGCTCCTGCAAATGGTTTGCCTGAGAAGACCAGGTGCTTATGGCTGTGAGGGCACATGGAAGAATCCAATCCAATGTGCTCTTCAAGGAGCAATAAACGCACTCCTTATGTCAAGTGGGCACCTCTTCACAGGGACTGCAAAAGAGCTGAGGTCTTCACATCTTTAGTTTGAAGCCAGTTGTTCAACAGCATTTAAAGGGAGGTGTTCAAAGAAATAACAAACAAAAACCTCTAGAGGAAAAAGGTACAAGCTTTTTTCACCTGGATTTATCTCTCGGTAAGTTCCAATTCCATAAGCATCTACTATGTTCTGAAAGCCGTATGTGAACTTGTTGGTTTTGTTATAGGTTGGGGGAGTCTGGTTTGTCTGCATCCTGTTCAAAATAGAGGGCACAGTGGAACCACTGTGTTCCTGTGGAAACATCAGCACATACATCAAAATTAGCTTCTCCTCCTAATGGCGGTGGTGGCTACACAGGTGTATATGTTTATCAAATTCATCAAACCACACAAAGAAAATACAACTTAAACAAAAGAAAATACATATATTTCAATAAAACAAGTGAAAAAATAAAATTATATGTTATCTTTCCCAGTCTACAGGGAAACTGGGACTAGGTACAAAATTTACAAGAGCAGATTTCAATTAGATGTTGGGAGGTACATCCTTACTGTTAAAAAAAAATGTAACTCTAAAATGTGCAACCAAAGAAAACGTGGAACCTCCTCCGTGTTCGCCTCTCCATGAGTGCTGTTGTTCTCTTTTCGCAGAGAGAGAAAAGTCTATTCTCCGCCTGTCCTTCCCCACCTACTCCTCCCTCCCTCCTCCTCTGCAACCTGGCCGAGCACACTTACTCACAGTGACGGGGTCGTCACCTGATCCCAAGTCTTCCCTTCCATATGCTGGCTCCTGTCACTGGCTGGCTTCCTCTTTTCTCTGGTGAAAGTCTTTATTCCTAAGGAGTTTTCCTCCCGCTCACTCGCCATTCCTTCTTTCTCTTTGCTGGCTCTTTTCCCTCTGCCTGTCCCACAACACTGAAGACCCCAAGGGGCTTCCTTATTTTTCCTCTATGCCCTCTTGGAGGTCTCATTCCAATCCTCTCTCATGACTCCCATTTCTTTAGTTCTGTCCCATTGCCTGCTTGACATTTCCACATAGATTTCTGTCCAGCACCTGAATGTGACAGCAACTGAATTTACCATCTTTCTTCTCTTCTCTTGCTGAACTTTTACTTCCATGAATGAAACCCTAATTCTCCTGGTCACTCAGCCTGGATGCCTCAGAAACCTAGTTAAATCTTTTTCCTTTCATTTCTCCTGTACCTTCTAGGAACCAAGTATACCTACCGAGTTTTCCTTCACAACGTTTCACAAATCCGTCATTGTTTTCTTTGCCTATTGTCAAGTCCTGCCCTAGGGGTCCTTATTACTTACCATATGCCTATAATAACCTCCCAACTGACCCCTCCACCTACGGAATCTCCACTCCTCAAACCAACCTGGAGACTGTCAGCAGATTATTAAAACTGCTTTGATTATATCCCTTCACTGCTAAATAACATCCAATGCCTCTCTGCTCCCTGTGGGATAAAATTTAGGTCATCTAACCTGTTATTTAAAACCCTTTCACAATTAGGTCACAATCTACCTGATGCAGACAGGTTCTCCTGCTCTTTCAGCTAACCCACTATAAGTCCTGTTCTTGCACTGTACCGCCTGCCTTTGTACGTACTGTTTTCTTCTTACCATTGGCAATCAACATCTTACCCATTCTTCAAAGCCCTGATCAAATGCCACCCTCCTGAAGCCTTTTCCAATCGCCATGGTTGGAAAAGCTCCACACACATCTACCATTCTCAGCACAGACTGTCCTGTATGTTGGCATGTCATCTTCTCCTAATAAACTGTAAGACATTTGAGGACATATTTTGTACATCTCTGTGCCCCTCCAGACCCTTAAAGCAGTGCCTTGGATATAGTAGTTGCTCTAATTAACTACCAAAGAGAAGTAGTCAAATACAGAGAGTGGGTCAGGAAATTAATGTTCTGGTCATGAACTACCCTAAAGAATCACGGGCATATGACGAAATCATTTCACCTCTCTGAATTAGTTTCCACATAAGCAAAATAAGGATAATACTCTAGGTTATATATGAAATTTACTGCCAGGATACAGATAAATATATTAAAGACCTCTGAAAGTAAAAATGTCATAAAAGCTATTTATAATGTAACAGCTACACACACAACATAATTTTAAATTTAATCAGCATTATTAATATTTTCTCCATCATTTTTAAAGTCATGGGGCTGGCCCGGTGGCGCACTGCTACACTGCGCCGCTTGGGAAGCGCGGCAGCGCTCCCGCCGAGGGTTCGGATCCCACATACAGACCGGCCGCTCACTGGCTGAGCGAGGTGCGGGGGCAACACCGAGGGTTGCAATCCCGTTGCCGGTCCCGGTCCGGTACGGGCGCGACACTGAGGGTTGCGATCCGTTGCCGGTCACGAAAAAAAGACAAAAAAGGAAGAAAAAAAAATAAAAAAATAAAGTCTAACAATGACTAAAACAATTTACAGCATCTGTGACTTTTATGGTGTTAACACTTTTGCCATGGTCGACTTCAAATCTCCCACACAGCACTGAGAAGAGCACCACACCATGATGTAGTGTTGTCACCATACGGACACGAGAGACGCACATGACATCACTAGTAGAGATAATAGCGGAAAGTAGTAAAATAACAGGGAGGGCGTTTACTATCTTTGTTTTTAAAATAATGTTCAATTATGAGTTTACATAATTTAATTTTTTAAAATGGCTATTTAACAAATAGCAAAATTGCTACAAATTTACCAGTCAGCTCTTGCGAGCCTGCCTGAGCTGGTTCCAGTGTGCCACTGTCTCCGTCCCTCCCCGCTGCCGGAACAACAACATACTTCCTCTTCTTGTTAGTCTTTCTAGGTGTGTTTCCTCAGTTACAGCATTATTTTGGAAATTTCCTACTATGACTTATTTGGTTTTTAAAATTATCATTATTATTTCCTGAAATGGAATGAAATTATAACCAGTGGAGGAGGGTGGGGCAATTTACCATTAAAGATCAAACCAGGAGACAATGAAGAGAGACTGGATTTGGAGTCAGAAGACCTAGTCCTACTATCTTAAATGTATCTTTTTGTTTGTTTGTTTGTTTCTGTTTATTGACCGGTAAGGGGATCGCAACCCTCGGCACAGTGTTGTCCGCACCATGCTCAGCCAGTGAGCGCACCAGCCATTCCTACATAGGATCCGAACCCGCAGCCTCGACGCTACCAGTGCTGCACTCTCTTGTCCCGAGTGAGCCATGGGGCCGGCCCTTAAATGTATCTTTTAAATATTGAGCTTCAGGATTCTTATCTGTAAAATGCAGCAAATAGCCACCTGCTTCACAGGTGTTTTTTTTTTTGTGTGACAAATACATAAGAAAATATCTGTGAAAGTGTTTTATAATTTAAAATTATAATATAAAACAGATGATCTTATAATATGCTATTCTTTTACAGGAGTTTAATCTTTCAGAACTTCTCTTTTGTTAGAGGAAATAGGTCAAATATTAGATTTTGCTTGCTACTTTGTGACAACTCACGATTTATGATTAAAGGTATTTTTCTGGTTCGGGGGAGAAAAATGCCATAACAGTGAAGTTGATTAATATTACTACTCATGGGAACCTCTCTTCTTGGCCACAAGCTGCATGGCTAGCTTTGGCGACTCACCGTGCCCCTTCTGAGTGCAAACTGGATGGAGTCAAGGTCGGTAACGGGGCACCAGACCTCTGCGATCAGGCACTTCTGCGTCACGTCTATGTTGCACAGGTTCAGGGTGTGGTAGATGGCCTTCATCTTCCGCACCTTGATGAACCAGACCCGGATGTTCTTAGCAGCTGCCTGCAGAACCCTCTGGCGGTGATCCTCCGTTTGATTCAGAACCTTTGGGGAGAGAGAGAAACAAAGGAGGGATCCTCCTGACACCAGTCTTAGATTTCAAGAGATGAATGGCAAAAGAGGCACGGCCTTCAGAAAAGGGTCGTCAGGGAACTGTCTTTTTCATCCTCTGCCTAGAATGATTTTTCTTCTTTTTTGCCAAATTATAAGAAATTCAGGTTCTAGTTACTAACATCCACTTTCATTTAGCTTCAAGCTGAAGAGAAACCTGAGAAAATGGATTTTAGTTTTTCTCTCTATATTCAACCGCACCACCAAGGCACAACCTCATCCAAGGCACAACAATGTAGGTCACTGGTTTTTAACTGGCTCATTAAAGAGCAGCGACTTTCTATGTGAAGCCTGGAACTCAGACTCAAAGAAGCAGGTACCATAGGCCCAGGAGCTGATGAATGAACACATCCTCACTGAGGAAGGGCAAGGCGCAGAATCCCTGCACACAAGCCAGCATCAGGACGGGGTGGGAAAGACGCAGCACCAAACCCCATCGCTTGCCCAGGCCAGAAACACAAGCCTAAGACACTGCAGGGGCAGGAGCACCCATGGTCTTCAGAAGGGGTTTGGACTGCCACATACACTGCCATCGCGGGGGCAGACAAGACTTTGCTTTCAGGCTTTTTGGAGTATAAAGAGTTTCCATGTTGATCCCCTGACAACTAGTACAGATTTCCTTCAGAGGAATCACATTGCCAAGACTAGGATTTGAGGAAGGTACAGAGACATTTTATATTCCACTGCCTTGTATATCACCAGATATTTAAAGTTTCAATAGCAGAAGAGAGGCTAAATCCATTTTCGAAGGAATTGGGCAAGCAACCCACATCTGTATGAGATTCTATCTTTAATCTCCACATCTCTTTGAAGAAAAAAAAGCTACATAATAACCATCTTAAGCACAAGTCTCCATCAGAGATGGTTCTTCAAGTTAGTCAGGAATGAAGTAGCAACTACTCTGAAAAACTGGCTTGGGCAGAGGAAAGTGACTTTCATAGAGATAGTTAAAAAAAGAAGTCCTGGCATGCTAGGGAAATCCTCGTGTTACCTGAGGATAGCTACTTTCTCTCCTTTTGGTTGTTGACTATTTCACAATTACTGTTAAAATTTCTTCTGGATGAATGCTAAATAAATCTGCAAGCCAATGTGCTATCTGCTTTTCTCTTCCTTGTTCCACTCCTTGGTATTCAATCCCTTTTTAAGATTTCCGTTCATGCATCTGCATTCTTAAAAAATCAAACTACGATCATTTATAACGACTACTGCACATGCTCTTTAAATGTGGAATAAGATAAGACGGCCCCTAGAACCTAGGTTGTACTAATAGGGCCTATTACCAGCAGTTCTAAAAAGCTCTTATTCTCTGGCTAAATTGATAAGCGTATCTCAAAGCCAGCCCTCGGTCAAGTTGGTGGATCACATCCAATAGGGGTCAGAGGGAAAGATGAGAGAGGGAGCTGAAACGGAAGTCACAACACATCTCTGACAATTCTGCCACTGCTGGAAGGAACTAACTGCCTTTGGGATTAAATATGTTTGTTAATGTTTCAAAGGGGCAATCATCACATTCATTCTTTCAAAAGGGAACAAAGCCCCACTAGCCACCCTTCCCTTTCATGTACGCAAAAACCATGACTCCTCTCTTAGGACCCTGTGACGAGCATGGTGTGCGTAAACCACACATGTTGTGATTTGGTAAAAATCTGATGCAATTTCTTCTTGGAAACAAGAGTCAGGGCCCTTTGGCTAGACCGTGCGGTTAAGATCAAAGGTGACCAGAAGGATACCCACTTTAGTTACGAGTGGTTACCTCAAGAGGTAGTGTGTGTGTGTGTGTGTGTGTGTGAGGGGGCGGAACAGACTTTATGTATACTTCTGGATTATTTGTGTTTTTTTTAACTTAACTAAGCACATTTTTTATAATTTTTTTTAAAGAAGTATATCAGACTCATGAGGCGGAGGGAAGTTGAATACAATAAACAACAATGATTCCAGATGCACAGCATTCCTGTCTCACTTGAGCATGACCAGTGCTATTTTTAATAACCATTCTCTGAGGCTTTCCCCATCTCCCAGAGGGACATATTACCCATGGACATTTCTGTTTTTGGTATCCTGGTCTGCTACAGGTGCCTAATAAAATGTTAGTGTTTCAAGGAAGGAGAATGGTCCTCTACTACAGTGTTACACAAAAACAAATTCCCTCCAGCCCGCTCTCTGCATACCATTTGGAGATCATCAATCCTGGTATTAACTCCGGAAGCCATTTCCTTCCTTTCCTGTGGTGTCTCGGGACAGGGGTAGAGTGAAGCTCGGAACCTGGAATGCATAGACACAGCCTTAGGAACACCCAAGTTTCTTAATCTATTCCATTTAAATAATCTCAGAAAGTATTCCTAATTTATTAGAAGGACCAAAATAGGATTAGGTCAGACTGATGTGTTAATCAACACCAATTATCTATGTGAAATGACCTACAGATAGAGTAATAACATTTGAACTATCTTGACATTCTCTGTAGCTATGAAATTCTCTTGAGATTTAAAAAAAAAAAAAAAAAAAAGAAGGACCAGTTTGTGGCTCACTCGGG